TAGTTCTGGTTTCTCCTGGGTCAGAACCAAGGCTAAGCTCACAGTAGAGCTACAGTTACAGATGACTGGGGCTGGGCTGTGTAGGAGCCTTCCTAGACCTCCTCTATGCCTTCCATGAATTCCCACTACGTTTTAAGTGCCCCTCTGCCTGCTGCTGCTCTGTAACCTGTTGCCCATGAAGTGCTTCCGACAGGTTCAGGCTGCATGGTTGGGGAACAGAACCTCTTTCTGGGAGACTCATGGTATTATACAAGATATGACTCCTGGGTTTGGATAGGACTGGTTGACATCACTCCACATAACGGAAAAAGCATGCTTAAGCACAGGACACAAATACCCAGCACACAAGGGAAGATCCGCACACAACTGTGTCATTTTATTAAGTTTGCCTGGACTCTGGCTTGGCACAGCTGTGGTTTGGAAGGCCAGTGTGCCCTAAGCATCCAGGTGCAGCAGTGCAGAAAGCCCGATGAAGCAGAGCGTGCACAAAGTGACCAGCCCAGAAGCTCTCTCCTTTGGCTGCAGGTAATAGGAGTACGCTGCATTTGTAATGGCGCACTTTGATGCAAAGTGGCATTCAAGTATGTATGTGCTGGCAGCCCAGGAAGGGAAGACAGATGGACACAAAAATGTAAGTGCCTATCTCTCTAGGCAACACCAGCTCTATTAAGGGGATGTTCTTCTGAGAGGACTGACTGGCAGGGACAGGCTTGGCTCAGGGAAGCTCAGGTGTCTTTGTTCAGGATGGTGGCTCACAGCCCTGAGTGATACCGAGGCACTAGTGGGAGTATGTACGAAGTGCTTGTCTTGTCAGCGAGCATGTGGAGCGGAGGCAGACGTGCACTTTTTGCAGACGCTGTTAGTATCAGGAAGAACTGAGATCAAGTGGGGCCAACAACAGCTTTCTGTGTGAAGAATATCTCCTGCCTGCAAAGAGTCACACTGTGTGACCAGGGTGCTTGTTGCATGAAGCATGCAGAGGCCAGGCAGGGGTAGATGAATTTGTTTTCATTTGTTCCCGGATCCCTTCCCCAGTTTGCTTCTAGCCCATTTCCCTAAGTCCTTGTCATCTCTCTCCCAGCAATTACGCTCAGTTGCTGTCTGTCTGAGGGAGCCAAATGAAGCTCCAGGGTTGGACACCAGAGAGGTTTCAGCTCCTGACACTTTCCTCAATAAATGGATGTTGGGATCAGTGTAAGAGAAAAGGATCCAATCCCTGTTGCTTTGCATTATCATCACTAAAAATGAAGCACTTGGCAGCCAAACTAGAGCTCCTGTGAGGCAAGCAATGACATCTATTGTTCATAAATGGGAGAAGCTAAGGTTCTTACTGCAAGTCATGGAAGCAGTTGGTGACAGAGATGTGACGGGGCTCTGGGTTTCCCTGGTATGTTCTCAGACATAAGGTCTATGCTTTTCTTTCTTCCTTTTTTCCCGCTTTCTATTCCAGAAAATATGCCCAAGGTACTGCTTGTAGCTGAGGAGTGCTCAAGTCTGGGAAGCAGGCAGGAGAGGTGTCTAGATTGGGCCAGGTGCTAGGGGTTAGTGGCTTAGGCGAGAAGTAAGGTCTGCAGGATTTTAGGTGATCTCATGTCTGACAGAGTCATCAGTGCAAGTGGTGAGGCTGAGTCTAATGTGGTGCATTCACAAATCTATTTGCATTCTTTGCATAGTCCCCTTGAGGAAAGATGGATGGTGGCCCCTGGCATCTTGCACGCGCATTCATACACAGAAAGGTTGTATGCTTTACAGCCCAGAAGCAGCACCATGCAGTAACCATCCAAAGGCCATGGGATGCCCTGAGGGAAGTCAGCTGCAGCATGCAGGCCCCAGTTCAACACAGCTACGGCTCCACTGTCACGCTGCTGTTGGTAACACGTACACCATACCATCCCTTCCAGAATAGCGTGTCCTGGCCACCGTGTTCAAAGCGGACAAAGCGGACCCCAGGCCCATAGTTGGAAAAGGTGTGGGAGATCTTTGGGACAAGAGACAAAGTGGTAAGCGTCAAACCACCATGAACCCTACTCGTCTTTAGCGCACAGAGCCTTCAACCCCACCTGCCCGCGTCATACCTACCAGGGTGGGTAACAATGAGGACATTTACAGTGGGAGTTACTGGGAGGAGCTTTGATCCCATTGCTGTTCAGAGGCCATTGAACCTCTCCCAGATGGGCATCTCCTTCATCTTCCACCTGCAGCTGTGGCTCAGCAAGTTTCTACATTTTATGTAAGGTAGCCTCCGAGTATAACCCCTTTCTTCACACACAGGGTCATGGCTCCACAGAACACATGACAGAGCCGCCGCCTCCTCCAGGAGAACTCTCCTGCTTCTCTCTGCTTGAAAACATTCCCTATTCATGCAGGTTGGGTGTCACCTGCCAAGCCCACAGCTGTAACTCACCTCAGTCCAGTTGGCGTCATTGTCCTGTGGGATGGCAATAGTCTCACTTCTGTACTCAGCCAGAACATCCTCATTCTCTGAGAGCAGCTTCACACAGAGCTCATAGAGGCAGCCGGCATCACTGCGTCCTGCATACCTGCAAGGAGATCCAAGCTGCTTGTCTTACCTGTGTGAACTCAGCAGAGCCAGAGCATGCAACTGCATCTGGGTGAATGCAGGCTCCACCAATCTCATCAAGTTACTGGGGCCTTGGTTTGAGATGGAAATCTGTAATGGTTCTTACCCCAACCCACCACCTCCCCTCATTCACAACAGGAACCTGGTCTTTAGAGGCCATATGCACCAACAGTTTGAAACTTGTGGGAGCTGCTGGTGGCTCTCTAAGCCAAGACCCAGCCCTGTCCCACAGCTAGGGGATCTGGCAGCTGAGGTTTTAAGGCCCAGTACATGTATAAGCCCTCCCTGCCCTTCCTTCTCTTTCTTGACTCTCTGCCTGCCTTCTGAGGCATCCTTGCTACTTACCAGTCTTTTACCACAACTTTGGGCTGGGTTGTATCCATCAGCTCTTCCCAGTAGCCCTCAGCCCTGAGGTCAATGACCTGAGCCTTTCGGCACCACCTGAAATGCGAGATGTTAATTGGTATCACAGTCTCCTGGGACTGGGGGAACCAAAAATGTCCCCTTCCCTGAATAAGAGAAGAAAGCAGCCTTACTCATAAGATGTAACAAAGTATTTATGGACTTCTTCACTAGGGAATTCTTTTCCAAAGTCCCCAGGGAGCTCTTCAATTTTCCAGCCATCACCTCCATTCTCTACCTCTCCCCAGTGCTGCAAGTCTTCTGCAAATAGCAGAAAAGAGACTCGGATGAGTCTTAGTTTCTGTGGGCCTGAGGAACCTGACCTTCTCCCACCGGAACCTTTCTCCGGCCTGCAGGAGGTGTGCTGTTAGGTGCAGCACTAATTCTGTATGTAGGCTATGAAGCTGTTTGTCAGGCAAAACCCTTTGCTTAATCTTGAACTTAATATTAACAGACTTTAACATTCCCTCCCCAAATGGCTATGTATGCGTGGGTTTATTTAACAAAGTACTCCAGTGAAATTATTTAGGTATTTTGAACTGTGTGTCAGCACTTTCAGTGTCAACATAGGAATAGCCTGGGGAGAGGTGCCGATTGCTTTATTTCTAAATTTTCTAAATTGCTAAGTGGTATTTCTGAAGCAGTATGGCCCTAATAATTGGGTTTTTCCTGGTCTTAGCCAGAGGGAACGTGGATGTTGGAAAAGCTTGCAGAAGAATAATCTGTAAACAAAATGGAGAAGCTGTGTTGATATTGCTTTGGTCTATGATGTGTGAAATGTCTTTGCTGCTGCTTGGGTTATGAGGTGTTGGTTACTGCTGCTTATTGCTAAGCATCTTGTAGATCTGGCAAGCAAAGTTCCTAGATTATCAGAATAATGGCACATGGAGTATGTGCACAGCTCTGTAACACGGGCTGTAGCGAGGAGGGCACAAACAAGATTTGGCTGAGCTGCTTCGAGGAAGCCTGAAGTGCCTGGTTTGCTAAGGGCAGACCAGCTCCTGAGCAGGGAAAGGCTTGGTCTTTCCTGTCACGGTTTGGCAAGAAGCAGTCTGGAAACCCAGGTGCTACTACCTATACTGCACTGGACAGGGGTTCTGCAAAGGACATTTTTGTCTCTCAAATGTGATTCTGATCCCTCTAGGGGCTTATATAAAGTTGATGTCAAGTAGAGCCCTTTACAGAGGCTGTGACTACCAGAGGCCTTCATGCCCATTAAGTGATTTGGCTGCATGCATTAGGTGATTTGACTTAGGCAAGAAGAAAATGCTGCAACCTGATAGAAGCTAAAATCTTTTTTCAAAGACTGGAGGTGCCCAATTCCCGGTGACTGGTCATCTCTATGAAATCTTGGGGCTTGTTATGCTTGTCTCTCACCTTCACCACATGGGTTCTTGATGAGATTCTTCTTTTTCTTACTCAGGAAGTAGAAGTTTTGCCAGTTCTCTGCACTATCCTGTGACTCTGCTCCAGTGAGCCCTTTCTGCTGACACTTCAGGATCCAAAGCGCAGCCCCTTCGATCAGGTTCTTCCACTGGCAGCAGACCAGGCGGCACGCCAGCACCAAATCCACCGCAGGTATGGAAGCCAGGATTCTGATGAGGACTGCTTCAGGGAGGGACTCCATCCTTGGGCCTGGCTGGCTGAAGCTTTCTGAGAAAGGAGGGGGAAAGGAGTGGTGACAGAGGGGTCCTTCAGACATGGGGTTCCCCACCCTCAGTGGTGTCAAACACTGATGCATTAGAAAAAAAGGGAAAATAAGCATCTTATCTGAAAGCATGATTTTGGGGGTGTAGATTTCTTCCTAACCTCAAGGCCTCCTGACCCTTGTTAATATCCTGAAGTACATGAGCACATTAATATTTTATGTTCTAAGTGAAGCCCTTAGTAAAATCCATTCATGGAATGCAAGTAGTCGACATCTGCAATTGTGGACAGTTAGTAGTTTCCCAGACTGGAATGAGTCCTTCCAGAAATCTCTGCTGCTACAAAAATCAGCTTCCTAGTAACTATTTCCTCTGCAGGGGGAGACATCTGCATGTTTGTTCTGCCTTTAAGAACGTCACTGGTAACAAATGCTGCAGAGCAGTACCGAAATGTCAGTGGTGAGCATCTTGCCAACCACACTTGCAATGGCTCGTTCTGTATGCCTCAAGGGGCTGGCACTTAATCTCCTTAGTCATGAGCCTGTATAAAGTATAGGTCTGAGGAGAACTGAAAATAACTCAGTTGATGTTCTCTAATATTGCTTTTTCTACGGCCTTAGAATTTGAGCAATTACGTCAGAAGCGTGTGCTTTAACTTCACGTGCTAATTCTGCACTCTGGCTCCCAACAGCTCCCTGCTGCCCTGAGTTCTAGGGCCAGGTGCTGCAGGAATAAGGGAAGATGAGTGTGCAGATTGAGCCCTGTGTCGTCAGTGCGGGATGCACTGTGACACTGCTTTTATCTCGGCCGAGTCCTGACGCTGGGAAGCTGCTGAGACTGCAGCGAACTGCACAGATGCAGCCAAACTCCTGAGGAGCGAGCCACTAAGCCTAGGAGAGCACTAGGAACAAAGCAGGTGAAATATCCTGATGTGCTACTTGATGCAATATGGCAGTGCCAAATCTGGCAAAGGAGGGAAGAAGTAGGGAGTCACAACTCTAACAGCATCTTAAATCTAGATGTTCCAGATGCAGAGCTCTCATGTGTCCTCTGCACTGCAGACAGCAGGAGAAAACAGTCATTTAAAATCCCGTGGCTTTTATGGGGGTGGCATTGGGGATTTACCGTTTTTTTTTCTCCTTTTCAACCCTCAGCCACAGTCCTGAAGGATTAAATGTGATTTGTTTTGTTTTTTTAAAGAAAAAGGAGAGATCATGCTGGTTTCATCTCCTGCAGGAATTTCACACGCCTTGCCCACTCTCTACCTGGTGATGGAGCGTTACTGCTCTCCTTGCTTAGCAGAGATTTCCCACACGCTCGGGGAAGGGGTGACGGTCCCTGGCTGACTTTCCTTTTCCACTCCGACCCACGGCACCTCAAAACCGGTCCAGCACCGGCAGGCCTCCCGGGGGAGCTTCCACCCCTCGCCC